AGCATTCATGGGGGACAGGTCATTTTTAAGCTATGGGATGTGGGATATTGAATTTTGCCCTTCCCTCCTGGGCTAGGAACAAATCCTGGCAGCGATGAGACCTGGATCCTTTCCAGTTGCCATCAGGCACTTGCTGATCATGTCTGTGTCTCAGCCAGATCTTTGTCCTTTCAGTCATTTGCTTTGGTTTTTCTTAATTATCTGCGAAGGACAGCCCTGGGGGGATGTAAGAGGTTTTATTTACACATGCCCTTTTCACTGCTATGTCTGTATTGTTATGGGGACTCCCAGCTGGGAGCAGGAAAAAAAGTGTCAGCATTTAGGGATATGTCGTGTATCCAGCATATACACTTAAAACACAGGGGAAAAGAGGGCTGTAGCGGGAGAGAGAACATGACAGTTTGAATCCTAGGCACTTTCAGGACTATTTTTAAATGCTTTGTAGTGTATTTGGAAACAAGAGGTCAGCAGCTTGGCCAGAAGCAAGCTGAATGCAGACGGGTGCTCCTCAGACATTACTCCGCTCATGCATCTCAGATCTGGCTTTCAGCACCTGTGCTTTTCCTGCTCTGAACCTCCCTCAGCACGTACGCCACTACCCCGCAGTCCTGCCTGTGTCCCCACCTTGCTAATCCACTCAGCTGTGCTGAGCTGTGTCAAACCCTGCCGTGGTTCTTTCCTGCTAAAGGGTGAGGTAGAGGCATTTTCCATTTAATAAACCACTTTTGATTTCTTAGAGATGTGCCCCAAGATTTGCAGACTTTCTTGCTTTTCTTCTCTCTTGGCTTGCATTTCTGCCTACTCTTTCTGTCTGTTTTCTATTGTGCTCCACCACTTAGACTCTAGGAGAGCTTTTGTTTTGTAGCATTTGCTTTAACCTTGTCAGACAAGTAAGTGAGTGCTGAAAGGCAGGTTTCCACACTAGCCAGCATCCTCGACAATGAAATTCTTGTACTAGCGGGATACAATTTGTATCATTTGATGGATTTAAAACAAACAAACAAAAGACTTTTTGTCCCTGCACAAGCACTGCAAAAGGAGCATGAACATCTCTGGTGTTCCCAAGCAGAGCATAAAGCTCTCCTTGAGCATTACCTACAGAGCTGAAGCAACTGCTTCCTAGAAAGCGCTGTCCCCATGCCAGGCTGGCACTATACTCAGGTAGTTGTGAGAAGGCAATAATGTGCTGGCCTCGTAAAGCAATCTCCAGTCGCCATTATTAGGGACATGCAAGTTGGCAGCAACTGTTCCCATTTGCAGTGAGGAAAGGGGAGACATGAACAATTTCAGGAGATTCTGCATAGTTTGCTTCCCTTGGAGGGAGATGGGTGCAGGAGTTCCCTCCTTGGCACCAGGCAGGCAGGTGAAGTTGCTGACATGCCCTGCCGCTGTTGCTGCCAGTTTGCTGTCTGTTGGAAGCAAAGCACATCTGGTGTAACTGGCATCAGGCCTGTTCAGAGAGTCTGCAAGGCTTTCACATTTGTAACCTCTTGCAGACAGCATGGAGTTTTGTTGCTCCAGGGAAGACCATAAGGCACGAACAAATGTATGAGGAGTGACAAGACAGCAGCGATTACGTGAAGGCACAAAAAGTAGAGCACCCTTCCCCATCAACACCATCAGCAGTGCATATTTTAGTGTACCTGAGACCAGGAAAAGAGCATGCATGCCCAGGGGCTGTGTGTTGGGCAAGGGAGCAGCCAAGTCAGCCTCATTCGAGTGGAAAAAGCATAAGCTAACCCCTGTGAGGACGGGCTTTTCTTCTGTCTGACGGGCCTTCCAGTGGCAGTTTATTTTCTACTCCTGGTGCTCAGAAGGAAAGTAATGCTGGCGTTTGTGGTTAGTGACACTGTAATTACAGGACAGTTGACATCTGAGTGGCCTCCTGAGCCTCTCCTGTCTTGGAGTGATCAGTAGGAAGGCAGTGGGGTTTTCCAAGTATTAAGATACTCAAAGTTGACTTGCTTGAAGGCAGACTTAGCAGAGAGGCTGGGAGATCTGGGCTCTCTACCCCTTCTACAGGCATCCTTCATCGTGCAAATTCACTTTCTTACCCTTTTGCTCCCTTTGTGAGATATGCAGTCTCAGTTGATATGGGGGAGAGCAGCGTGGGGACCATTTACTGGAGAGACTAATTTACAAAGCAAATGAATAGCACAGCTGTCTCGCATGTCACGGGGAGACAGCATAGGGCAGTCACAGGGGCTCCTTGCTGCTGGGGTCTGGGATCGTGCCTGGCTCCGTGGAGCACAGGGCAGGGAGTGCACCTGGTGGGTGAATTCTCAGGTGTGGCTGCAAACCCCATCCCTGCGGGCAGAGAAGGGTTATCTCCAGGAATGTCAGAGAGCTCCGTCAGGGTGCATGGCAGGGGGCTGTTTGAAAGATCACTTGGTCTGAAACCTGCTGCAGTCAGCAGGATGGTTTCCATTGACTCTGGGTGCAGACCTCGCTGATGAATAGTGAGCACAGGAATAGCTGCTGTGCGTGTGAGGGGTGATCTCTGAGGAGGGTTTTCCGTCATGCAGCCAGCATCACGTGTGTGTGACTGGAAACACTAGAGCCTTCCAGGCTCCTCTGTGGCCCTCTCCCAACAGCCAGCGCCTGCTGCTGAAGGGATTTACGCCAGTTACACAGCTCACCCAATTATCTCCCATGACAGGGAAGAAAACTTGTTTGGTTTGATGAGAAATCATTACAAATTACAAGCTTTGTGAGTTTGGGACAAACGAAGCCCCTAAACGCTGCCTTAGTTGAATGCTCTGTCTGTGCTCTGTGTGATAAATAACAGCTGACTTTTCCATCGCTAGGAAATGAATCACTGTGGAGGCAAAACCAAAAAGGAGCCTCAGTCCAGCTAGGAGACCTGAGAAGGAAGCTGTTGGAGGAGAGACGCGTACTAACTCCACTGGCCTGTAGTCTGTTTTACACTTACTAACAAATGTCAACAACTAGGTAATGTCCTTCCTCTGTTCTTTCTGACAGTAGCTCAGGACTTGGGAGTTAAGGTGCAGAAACATTAGTTTTTCCCTACTATGTAGATACTGTGTCTCAAAGGGTAAGTCATGATCCATGTAAAATTTAGTATCTGTTAGTGGAGCCTGGAAAATTTGAAACTCCTTCCAAAAACAGACTGAATGAATAAAACCAGCGAGAGAGGATGCCGAGAAGGGGTTTAGACCCTCGTGCAGTCTGTCTCTGAACAAGAGAACTGAGTCAGGGCTGTAATCTGGGAACAGGCTTGAAACTGGGAGGTAGCAGGGAGCATTTTATTTCCTTCCTAAGTTTTGGTGATGGGTTCAGGAAGCACCAAGTACAGTTGTCTTTGGATTGATGGGAAGGTCTGCTCATTGCAGCTGTGAGGACTTGGAATGGGGAGGAAATATAGATGTCTGGATTTTGGGAGCGTGCACGTAGCAGGATTGTGACTATGCCGTGTTTGCAGCTGTCATTGGGGTGTGGGATGTTTCCCATCACATCAGATTTCACTAGGTTTGGGTAAGGAGTGTGGCAATGGCCAGTGCCTTGGGTTTTAGTCAAAGTCAAACGAAGACCCCAAGATCTGATGCACCTGAAATGTTGTGTCATGGAAACATTCCTTTCTGCCTCCTGAAATGTGATCCATGTAAAATTTAGTATCTGTAGTGGAGCCTGGAAAATTTGAATCTCATTCCAAAAACAGGCTGCGAATGAATAAAACCAGCCAGAGAGGATGCTAAGAAGGGGCTGGTTTAGACCCTTACATCCTGATGCCTGAGATTCAACTCCTTATTTCAGCTTGGATATTACTGGTTACAAAATCCAGGCAGTGCTTGGTTCAGTGCTTTCTTGCAGCAGCTGCACATTGTGTGGTGAAGTGTTTCCTTTAATTCATTGTTAAGTGACTTGCTTTTAATCCTGCGATGTGACCTCTTGCTGCAGGATGCGCTTCCCAAGCATGAGTCAAGGGAGGAAGAGCTGTGCTGAGGGGAAGGCGCTTTTTGTGCTCATATCCCAAACACATCCTCCATCCATCCATTTCCCTAGAGCTCCAGCTTGGAGATATCCTATGAAGTACAAATAGTACAGCAACCAGAGAAATCATATAGCTAGTGAAGTTGCCATGAACTGACCACTAAAGTGCTGAGGGATGGTGAAAGAAAGCTTCAAGTCAGGCTAAAACTAATATAACCCCTAATCATTAGCATAGCTCTGCCACACTGACTGTGTTGTATAGGGCCATCTGGTATGCCCCACACATGAGATTGTGGTGTCCTATTTGCGCTTCTGCTTGCAAGTTTTTTTCCCATCCTTGGGTGAATGTGCATATAAGATCTACTAACCTGAAGGCATAGTCTGATATTGCTGGAATGACCAGGCTGTGGTCTTTGGAAATGTCTGAAGTCTGCAGAGGAGGACAGCGAAGCTCTAGAGGAAAATAAAAACCTAAACCTGTAGTTAAACACCCTTGGTAGCTTTGTTATTGTACCAAGGGTATTTTCATAGACCAAGGTCACTAGTGCAGTGAAAGCTGCTGTCATCATGCTGTCTGAATGGTGGGCAAATAGGAGACAGGAACAACCGTGGGTTTTTACTTTGCAGGGGCATCTGCCAGTGGTCCCCCAGCTTCTAAAATGGGCTTTAGAAGAGTGCCAAGGATGTGGAGGGCTCCTGGGGAGAGCACAGAGAAGCCCAGAGGTCTTGGAAAAGCAACTCACAGGAATGATGAACTCCCCGGGTCATGACTCCCGTAATAAGAAGGGACACTAGATGATACCAGCCCAGACAGTGGGGAGCTGCTGATCCCTGCACAGAGGCTCAGTGAAGGGCTGCTGGTTGAGAGATGCTGCGTCCTTGGGGGCTGCAGTACTTAGCACCTTGTATCTCAGATCCCCCGGGAGGAGGTGAATAGCAGAAGTGCTGCTGGCGGTGCATAATGCAACACAAGTGCCAGGAAGTCGATGCACTTCCCCCGTTGCTCAGCTTCCCCTCTGCCCTGACAGCCCTGTTCATTTCTCTTGCAGGGAGCAGCCAATCTTCAGCACCAGGGCCCATGTTTTCCAGATCGACCCTGCCACCAAACGGAACTGGATCCCTGCCAGCAAGCACGCTTTGACTGTCTCCTATTTCTACGATGCCACACGCAATGTGTACCGGATCATCAGCGTGGGGGGCACCAAGGTAGGGGGCATTTGCTGACAGCATCACACAGTTTAACAGCAGGTTTTTTCTCCAGCCAGAGTCTGTTCTGGTGTTCATGTTTTTGGTGTCATGTTGGTCAGTTCTCAGCATGGGCAAATCTTCACTGCAGGGAATGGAAGGTAAAACACTGCCTCCATGCTCAAGTGTATTTAGTGTTAGACACTAGAATCCGTGCTGATGAAAAATGTGTCCTAGGGTCTGATGTTGTCCTCCCTGCCCCACTCTTTTCCCACCCCCCGCGCATGCAAAACACAAGCTTTTTCTGAGAGCCTTTATCCTGTGCTAAAACCAACCCCTGTAGATATAATGAAATGACAGACAGAGGTTGAGGGAGTCTCAGAGGTAGTCTGTTCAGTCACTTCCACAAAACACGATTAACTCTCCCTAAACTGTTCTTGATAGGCATTTTTCTGACTACTTCTTGAAAACCTCCAATGGTAGAGATTCGGCAATCTTCCCAGGCAATATATTTTGTTGCTGCCCTAACCAGCAGAGTGTGTTTCGTAATAGCTAGTCCTGACTGCTGTTTAAGCCTTTCTTTTTTTTTTTTTTCTTACTTGTCATGAAAATGGAGAACATCAGAAAGTTGCTAAATCCCCAGAGACACGCTGTCTCTTATCTTCTTTTCCAGCAGTGGAGGAAGCTGATGATACTGAGGTGCGTTTTTTTTGTTTTTTTTTTTTTTTTAATTCTTTCACCCTCTAGTAGACAAGATGATTGAGATTTGTTCATGTCATGTAGCCAGACTAGAAAGACTTTTGGTCACCAAAAGCCTGAACTATTGTCTTACAGATTAAAAGCCAGAGGTTTCTACCCCTAGTTCCTAGAGTACACAGGGATTATAGTGATCAATCCCACACCACCACCCCAAGGCAGTAGGCTGGAGTTTTCTCTGACTCTCATTGTTCCCTCTCTCTGCAGGCAATTATCAACAGCACTATTACCCCCAACATGACCTTCACAAAGACGTCCCAGAAATTTGGACAATGGGCAGACAGCCGAGCCAATACAGTGTATGGGTTGGGGTTTGCTTCGGAGCAGCATCTCTCCCAGGTAATGCTGCAGGTGCTGGCAGAAACCTGATGCTAGCAGGGGGAATGTTGCTGAAACCCTGAAGGGGGGATCAGTCTCTGGAGAAAAGACTTTAGGAACCTGATGTAAAGCTGTTCGCACTGTGCTAAAATCTAACACAAAATGCAAAGATGCTAGGAAGAGCTTTAATATTTGCAGAGTGTTTTGAGTATCACAAATTGTATTAGGACTTTGGGCTCAATTTCTGTCATTGCTATTTAGCTAACTCCACAGCCCTGAGTGCCAGAATCATGGGCAGGGGCAGGAAGGGGCTATTCCCTGAATTTTATTGTTAGTTGAAGAAAAATTAAAAAGCATATTGAGTGAAGTTGGAAAGGGAGGAGTAACCCAGGCATCAATTCTAGTTCGTTCCACATTTTGGCGTAGCACCGGAGTGACTTTTCCGCTCCCCTCTAGTTTGCAGAGAAGTTCCAGGAAGTGAAAGAAGCAGCCCGTTTGGCGAGGGAGAAATCCCAGGATAAAACAGAGCTGACAAATCCTGCCCTGAATATCACATCTCACCAGGTAATGCTTGGAAAGAGGCATGAGTGAAGCTCACTGTAGAGCGATGACAGTTAGGGAAAATGGCCACCGTGCTGATCTCTAGTAACTTCTTGCTTTCATCCCTTTCTCTCTGAGAGCTTTCTTGCTGGACACTCAGGATGGAGCTTCACATTTTGATGACACCTGTGGCCCTGAGGTCACTCCACTGAAACACATGAAGTAGATTAACTAATTAGTGCTTAAGTGGAGTTCCTGGGAAGGTTCACACTCCTCCTGCTTTGCCAGTTAAACTATCAAAACCATTTGATGTCTTATAAAGCCGTGCTGGAGGTGTGGGTTTTTTTGTTGTGGTGGTTGGGATTTTTTGGTTTGGTGGTGTTTGTGGCATTTCTTTTTTTCTTTAGAGCTGCTGGTTCTCCCTGGGCTCAGTGTGACAATAACAGGCAAGTAGCATGCAGGAGTGCATGTTGCCTGGTTGAAGATCTTAAGAAGGAAGACACATGGCGTTTTCAACCATTTTTCTTCCTCTTCTGGGGCTGCAGGGGGTTCTTCTCCAAGTGTCTCTGATAGGTGATGGTGCTGTCCATGGGGGCCCATAGAAAGACAAAGTGATTTCTTAGACCTGGTGACTGAGGAGTGCTGGCCAGAGTTCTGTTTCTGTCATATTTCCACTGTGGAAGAGAAGCTGTGCTGTGAGACTAGAAATCACCCCCATTCCCTTGGGAACTCTCCCCTAAGGTAGAACTGCATGCATGACAGCGAGTCATTCAATTTTCTTTCCCCCAGGAGACCAAGCCAGAAAGCTTAAGCCCACCACAGATCATTCTCGCATGTGTTGCATTTGCAATTGTTACCTTTCTCCCTGTATAGCTGAACCAACTCCAGCAGCAGTGGGATGGAGGGGAGAGGATAAGCTGTGGAGAACTCTACCCTGCTTTTTCCCATGGTGAAGCAGTTCAGTGCTGATGGTGAAGTTGCCCTCCCCAATAGTTCACTCCAGAGGTGACTCTGCATTTCCCAGAGCTCCTGGCAGTAGGAGAGGAGCTGTAGGATGGAGGACACTGCGTTCTCTGGGCTGAGTACAGATGGAGTGGCAGCAGAGGAGGAGGAGGGAGTGTGAACAGTACCTTGGCCTGCAGGAAAAAGAGGGGGAGGTGGAGGCGGTGGCTCTGCAGAGACTGGAAATGTCATGTGGGGTGGAAAAATGGGGAAAATCTGCCTAGCTTTTGGCTCCTGGAAACTCTAAGCCCCATCCTAATGGGTGGCAAATTAAGAGGGGAGTAGAGTAGAGCATTCATAGCAGAACCAAAGTTTTAGGTAAAAGACTCTGGTCAGTAATAATTGCCCAAGACAGAGATTTATGGCCAGCTGCAGCTTCCATCTCCTAGCTCCCCTGGCCAGTAGAGATACTCCCTCTTATCCTGTTTACACCAGGCAGAACTCATCAGGTGCCACAAAAGGACACGTTCATCTTACCTATGCTGCGATGGCAACTTGCAACAGAAGGGATGAGGAGGTCAGAATGTGAAGGTTAAACACAGATCAGGGAAGTGGCCTAAGGCTTTGTTCATTCTTCTTACCTGACTCAGCAGCGCTAAAACTGCCACGCTCATTCTTCCCATTCAGCCTGCCTCGTCTCTTGGTGGGAGAGCTTGGACACAAGCATGCACGGCCCCTGCCTGCAGCCATCCGGCGGCCAGCGTGCTGACACAGTGACACATGCAGTGTCCCCTGCCATGTGGGGATGCAGATCTTGTCCTGCCTTTCGCAGCCTGTACATACATCAGCCCATCATCCCTTCTCCCACTGTCCCTGATTCGCAGTCTCTACATTAGTAGAGCTTCAAACATGAGCTTCATCCTTGAATAATTGATTGTGTTTCTCTTTGCAAGTGAGCAGAGAGCATATCTGTCTCCTGCAATTAAATCAGGGCTCCCTCATTTTCTGCATCTAAGTTTACTTAGGCTTCAGATTTTCAAAGCTGGGGAAATCCCAGGACAGCAGCTCTCTTCTGTCCTCTAGTACCTTCTAGGCCAATCCCCATCCCATTTAGCATCCCCATCACAGAGTATAATGTAAGCAACAAAACAGTGTGGAGCATCTTCAACTGTTATCAGTTTCAGTTGGACTCACAGGGGCTCAACACACCAGAACAGGAAACTTCTGCCCCTTCCCTGCCTCAGTTTCCGCACCTTGTGGTAAAGGTGAGGCAGGGTTGTGTTTTGCAGGTCTCTCTTCTCAATCACTTTGGAAGGCTTCCTGAAGCTGGTGTTCAATACATCTCAAGGCCCTGCCTGGCTCTATTTATAGATGTCAGCCGACTCCGAAGGCAGGTGGCTGTCCTTACCACAAGCATTTGAGGGCTACCTATCAACTCCAGCAGGCTCACCAGCCACCTGGTCTCACAGCCTCCAACTTAGGATCCCAGAGACTCATTGCTCGGAGAGTCTTTTTATAGCTCAGTTTGCCCTGTCAGTGCCAACCTTCTTCCCTGCTGTGAGAGGAGACCATGCAGACAGGGTCTTCTGGAGGGGCTGGAGGATGTAAAGTCTGCTTTGGCTTCTGCATATTCATCTCTGCTCCACTGTCAGTTCCCTCCAGCCTGGGAGGACGAATTGTTTGTCTCTGCTAGCTCTGATGTACGCAAGAATATGGAGCCATAGAGAAAGGTATACTTTGGTGCAGGGGCTGTGAGTTTCTTCTCCCACACCTTTGGAGAATGGGTGCCACAGTCATCTGAGCAGTAGCAGAGTTTTCCTCCCTGGAGCCTGAGAAACACTATTCCAATGGACCTGGTGTCTTAATTCGAGGTATAGAAGCTGGACTTGTGACTGAACCCAGGTGGCCTGGCAGGTCTGTGTTTAGAGTTTACTACGTCTTTCCACTGCTCTGAGAACCAGCAAGAAAATCCTATTAAGAATTCAGCAAAACCCTGAAACGGCCAGCTTGAGCAGCTCGGAGTGTTGTGCACAGCCGCGGGACTTGGGTTACAGGCTGTAACATCGCTGGCATTTGTCACGGGGAAGTTGCGGGCCAGAGAATTTAGTACCTCAAGTCGGGAGGGAGGAATAGCTGGTGTGTGCAAGCTGTGAGCCCACCTGCTCAGGGTGTCTGTGCACTGGGATCGCTGCCCCAGCATGTCATGGAGACAGGGAAAGGGAGGACATGGCAGCAGGGCAGCTGCTGGAGCTAAGCACTAACCTGCCTATCCAAGTGAAAGCCCTGTGTCTGCATAGCTTCCAAAGTCATCACTATGCCATGACTGGTGCTGCTGAGCCATACATGAGGATCTTTGCCACCCCTTGTCATGTAGGCAAGCACAGCACTACGTAAGAGTTAGGACTGAAAGCCAGTGTTTCTCACAAGAGTGCGGGGACTGAGAACTAGCCCTGTGAACCCGGGCTGCGAATGAGTTTGCAGAGACCTTGTGGCCACATGGCCTGTCTTCACTGCTGTGTGATAACCACCTCTTCCTCATCCCCCAGGTTCTTCCCAGCCCCATCATCAGCTCCAATGGGCCAGGAGAAGATAAACTATTCCGGAGCCAAAGTGCTGATGTTGAGATAACAACAGAGAAGGAACGGCTGAAGAAGATGCTTTCAGAAGGGTGAGGCTGCCACAAGTGCTCTCTGCTCCTGACTCCTAAACTGTCTATTCTGTCATGATTTGGTGCATGTCCCTGTCATCCCAAATGCTTTTGACCCAACGCTACTTCTTTAGGTAGCCAAGTAATGCCCCATGTCCGCTGCTGCTCGAACCCTCCACTGTACCAATTTCCCCTTTTCCCCAGCAGAAGGTTATTCCTGCTTGGAGGTGAAATCTGCTGTTCACGTGGCGTGGGAAGGAGAATGCTTTATGCCCACAGCAGGGATGAGTTGATGCCAGTTATCTACAGATCACTAGTTTGTGATACCTGAAGATGTTCACACTTTTCCAGCTGGCCCAGGGCTGCATTTGTGTTAATTCCCGTGACGATTCCAGCAAAGTCCCTGCTGCTTCCGTTCTTTGTCTGTTCAAAGGACTCTGGACTGGATCCTGCCCTGTGGCTCCCGTTGAGCTCCCAGCTGAACACTTAGAATATTTTTAAATCAAAAGCAAGTGTCCTTTGCTACCTTCTGCTAAGTCTGGGGTGGTAGGGTTTTATTCAAAGCAAACTCGGATCTAACAAAGATTTTAAAAATGGATTCACAGTCCCACGTTGCAAAGCTCTTTTATAGTAGCTGTATCTCCCCCACCCCCCACCCCATTAATCTTACAATGTGGTTTCTGCAGTTTCAAGCAAGCACGCATGGCCTCAAAGTCAAATATTATCCAGGGATAAAAGAAAGAGATGCAGATTCAGGGCTGGAAGAAGCATTTACATTTGGGAAGTGATATGAAAGCCAAATAGAAAACAGGGAACTGCCCAGCACTTCCAAGAGCATAGTTTCAGTGCATGTTTCAGCACTGGGGGAAGAAACTTTCATGCTGAGGCTCTTACGCTCTCCTGCACACTTCCCCTGTTCTCTCACACAGTTCGGTGAGTGAGGTCCAGTGGGAGGCTGAATTCTTCAGCCTCCAGGACAACAACAACAAGCTTGTGGCTGCTCTCCATGAAGCCAACGCCAACGTGGACCAGTGGAAGAAGCAGCTGGCTGCTTATCAGGAGGAGACAGAAACGCTGCGGCAGCGGGTGAGCACAGGAGGGCCCTTGCAGAGCAGGTCAGAGGAAGCCCTGTCCTAGAGCCAGATGGTGCCCTTGACCCCGTTCTCCCATCAGTTTCCCTGGGTGTCAGCAGGAGATGAGAAGGAAATCCAGGATGCTGCATGAGCCTGGCAGGGAAAACATGTCAGGGAATAAGGCCATGTAACTAGGGAGCTCTTACGAGAGCTCCTGTTTTTTTGCAGAGCAAGTTGGGGGTGTGCTGAGTCCCTGTGGATAAAGGGAGGAAACCAGGGCACAAAGTCAAAGAATACCAGCTTCCCTTCAGATTTTCTGGGGGTAGTTCCCAGCTGCCAGCAATACTGAGTAAGGCCTGTGTCCCCCCTGAGCCTGGCATCAGAGCAATCTTCTGGCTGCTGACAGGAAGGATGAAGATTGCTCTATCTGCTATAATTAGCTCGAGTCCAAGCTGCAACATCATGAAACCCGGGTGGCGCAGTACAAACAAGCCCTTATTCGGTTGGAATAATAGGATCTTTTGACCTACGTAATATCAGGGAGATCACAGATCAACTGAGGAGGCCTGTGTGCATCTGGGCAGAGGAGTGACAGTCACACGGCTGGGTTTGTTGGGAGGGAAGAACTGCAGAGTATTTGGGAAAGGGTTTTAGGACAGCTAGGGTTTGGCTGGGAAAGGACTCTGGAGCCCTGGAGAAGAAGGCATAAAGCCATTTCACTTCTAGATAGCTCATTCAAAAGACAGCAGGGATTTATAGCAATTAACAGCTGTTTCTACTTGATGGCTGTTGTGTGGCCAGTCTGTGCAGTAAACAGCCGTCCCCCAGGACTCACTGTGCCCATTGCTAATTCTCAGTGCTGGAGTCAGACAGTAAAAGAGCTGCACAGAACAAATTTTCTCCTCTGCAGGAGGAGCCTGCCCTAGGTATAGCAGAGATCTTGGTTGTGCATAGGTATATGTGTGGTTTTGGGGGCTGGCTGGGATGAGCTGCCTTTTCCCTGCCATTGCTCTGTGCATACTCAGCTTTGGTGGCTGTTCTTACAGCCAGGAGCTAGGAGTGAGGATTTCGTGAGCCTTTGGTGAAAGGCAACCACTGGGGACTTCTGCAGAATCACAGGAGAAACTGTAACTCGGTGAAACGTCTAGGTTATTGTCCCTAAACCGGAGCATTTTGGGACCAGAGCTGGTTGATTCTGGGCATGACCCTGTGAGCCTGACAGGTCACAACCACTGTTTACATGGACCCTGGCAGAGGCCCAATCCAACCAGTGTTGCCCTGCTGCCCCTGCTCATGGGAAAGTGTCACACCAGGGTCCGAGCCCTGGCTATGTGAGAGTACCCATCGCTGGAGCTGCACTTGTAGAGCTCAGTGCAGGCACTGTGAGAGCTTGGGCCCCAGCAATAGCTGCTGCAGACCTTCTGATGAGCTTTTAAAAATGAATCCTTTTCATGAATAATCTAAGCCATTGGGCTGAATTTTTCAGGAATGGGGAGCACGCTTGGGCAAACCCTTCCTCCCAGCTCTGCTGTGGTTGAGCTGAAGTAACTCCTTTGCCCGCGGCAATCTCTGCCCAGGGATGTAAATGGAGCTGGATCTAGCCATCTTTATGGGTTGTAGGCTCATGTGCTTGATGTCCGCCAGTCAGGCTTTGCTGGAAGTGCAAGACTGCAGGAGAAAGCGGAGACATAGACAGAGTTTTGCCACAATGTGTTTCTGTGCGTGATCTATGCAGAGCAGGAGGAGAGAATTTTTTCCTTACAGCCCCAGGGTGGGAGCTGCTGTCCTGTTGTAAGCCTGGTTGGGTTTGCAAGGAAGCCAAAACATGACAGAGAATGACTGTGGGTGATAAGGTGTCAGGACATTCCTATATCTCTGAGCGCGCCTTCCCTGTGCTTCCTTCCATGTAGGTAGCAGAGCTGGAGTCACAGAGTGCTCACGATTCCTCCAGTGAGAACAACAAGGAAGATCTGAGCCAAACCCTGGAGGAGCTGGAAATACTGATCAAGGCTAAAGACGAGGTAATACTCCACAAAGCAGAGTAAAGCCTGAAGCTAGGTGGCCTGTCAATCACCACACCCTGTCTGTCACTACAGCTTGTATGAGATCAGAGGGCCTCTCGTGCTGTTGCACATGCTGCCTATGCAAGCCAGGAGCCTCCATAAGCCAGCAAAGCCCCCTCAGTAGTCTGCCTTCTCAGAGAGGCAAAGCTGAGTGAGAGTCAAGTGCTGGGAGTTTCCCCTGCAAATAGCCTTCAGTGGAGAGTCTTGGACACTGCACAAACAGCAGGGATGTTGTCTTACCCCTTCCCCTCTCAGCCATCTGCAGCTGCAGTTAGCCTCTAGTGTAGTAATTGCTTCTCGCTTTCACTGCATTTAAAAGAATGATTTAAAGCAGAGTTTTAATTACAGAGGCTGTGAAGGAGGGGAGATGTGGAGAGAATCTCTGATTTGCACATCTGCAGGCTCTCTGGTGGCTGTGCTTCAGCAGGGTGGGTGGACAGAGCCTCAGGGTTGGAGCCACAAAGCAGGGATTGGGGAGGGGAGGTGTTTTGGGGTTCCTGATCCTTAGTGAGAAGAGATCTCTCCTCCCTCCCCAGAGCTACTCAGGCTAGAGGAAAAACGCTGGGGCAAGGCAAAGGTGTGCAAAGGCTTTCACCCAATAGCTGAGCAGGGACCCTGGCCCCAAGAGCCTGGGATGTGATCTTGAGCAAGGATGCAGCAGGGTGCAGAGACCACTGAACCTTGCTGACACTCAGCCAGTCATCTTGATTAGGGACTAACAGCTTAGGGAGGCAGCAGGTACAGCAGAAGTAGAAGGTTAGAAAGGGAGGTATTAAAATTTGGAGCTGAGTGTGGTTATGTGATCCTTGGAGAGAGGGAACAGGCCTTGGTTGGAGTATGTGGTGGGAGCTGGTCCCACTGGGACAGGAGTGGGTCTGACGTGATGTTCTTCCTCCTTGTGTTTTAGGAGATTCAGATGCTAAAGAGCCAGAAGTGTGGCCGATGGGAAGCAGAGGGTGAGCGTGAGGAGACACTGCAGAAGCTGCAGGTAAGAATGGCAGATTTGGGACACCTGTGCACTCGGAATAGAGGGATCTGTCCCCATTTCTCCTTTGAGCCAAAGAGTGAATGCCGCAGAGCTGCCATGCCTATCTCTGCCTCTGGATGATGGGAACAGGTCCTTGGCTATGTCTCTGCCTTCTTCCACCCTCCCTGTATCCCTCAGAGATACAATAAGGGGCACAATCAGCAGGCAATAGCAAACCCAGCCATCATGTACTCTCCTGTAGTGCTTGCAGTAGCCCCTGACATGGGACTGGAGCAGGACCTGTGATGTCCTGTGACCCTCCATCTCTCTGAAGTTCTACTTAGCTTGCTGGATGGACAGGGGTGGCTGGGGAGCAGAGCTCTGACTCTGGCTGGCAGGAGGGATGCAAGCTGCTCTGCACCTCAGGGCAAGGACACAGATGGAAGCACGATCTGTTGTGCAGTCTCTGGGGGCACTGCCTGCCTGTGTTTACCTCCGAGCTACTGAACAAGGGGATCTGCTGCAGGGCTCAGCCCCATATACAGCACTGACTTCCACGGCAGAAAAATACCTCCAAACATCAAATGGAGATGATAGGCATGTGAGGAGATCTGCATTGATACACCTTTGCAAACCATGGGCAGATGCCTGGGTTTGGGGAACATGTGCTCACATGCGTGTGCATGCCGGGGTGCTGTGGCTCAAGATAGGGAGGTCCTTCAGTGAAAGAGCTGATGGAGAGTGGGCTGGCTGGGTGTGGGTGGCCTGGCGCTGGGGTGCTAGCAGGACTGTTTTGTGGAGATAAGGGTGGTGGTCTGAGAGCAGCGTGTATCAGTGCTGGGGCAGCCACCTCACTGCACTTGTGTCCTTTGGCAGGAGCTGGAGGCATGCAATGCAGAACTGGAGCGACGCCTTCACCTTGCTGAGCAGACGCTGGCAGAGACCCTGGCTGAGAGGGAGAAGATCCAGAATGAGGTCACCAAGGTGGCAGAGATAATGGATGTGAAGATATTTGAGCTCAGCGAGATCCGTCAGGGACTAGCCAAGCTGGTAGAGAGCAACTGAGCAGCAGCACACTCAAAGGAGACACCTCCAGAGGAGGGGAGCCTGAGCTGGGACTGGTCACTGACAGCAATTACAGTCACAGAACAGCCTCGAGGTCTGTTCGGGCAGGATATGCCAACATACCAGCAGCTGCCTGGACAGTGTGGAGACCAGCCGCAGCCACTTACTGCCCACTGAACACCCAGAGAGAGGGCAGAGAGGACCTGAGCTCCTGAATCCTCTACAGGGAGCATCTACAAGTCACAGCCAGACCTCTCTGGACCCTGCCGTGGCTGTGGCATGGTCCAGAGACAGCAGCTGTCCCTGTGCTGCCTTCCCAGCCTCCCTGCTGCCACACTGTGTCTCCAATGTTTTTACAGTTTTCTAGGGGAAGGGGCTGAGCAGCCTTCGCGTTTTTTCAGTAGTTTTTTAGGAAACCACTTGCCTTTTGCAAATAAGCTGCCTGTTTCCCCACCTAGGGAGGGAGGAGAAGTTCTAGCACACGGAGGACAACAGTTGCTCCTTTTCCTCTTCCCCAGCCCTAACTACATCGTGTCTTTCTAACAGGATCCAGTAACCCTGGTCACTGTCAGGAGCTTCCAGAGGTAGCAGAGTCCCCACTGCAGAGAAGGGTGCTTGCCTGACCGTGTGTCCTTTCCAGTGTTCAGTCATATCCTCCAGAGGAAAAGGAACTGCAGGTTTTAAAGCTCTTATTAGTTTAACACAGTGGGATTTAATGACTTGTTAAAACTCCTTTAAGCTGAGAAGAGTAGAGGCTTGGTTGGGAAAGGGGCATTTGAGAAATGGGACATCCCTGAGGGGATGGCCAACAAACTGCTAGATTGGCATCTCTCCCGGCCTCTAAGGGCTGCAGTTAATTGAAATTAAATGGAGCAAATCGCAGTTGCTCTTGGTTTCTTTTTTCTTTTTTTATTGGGAAACAGTCCACAGAGATGTCCTGCTCCGTGTCAGCCGAGCAGTATTCCTTGTGGAGGGTACGGGTCCCAGCTTGCCATGCTTGGCCAGAGAACAGGAGGCGTTTGGAGCATGCTGGGACTGGTGCCCTGTGGGGCCTGTGGGAAGTTTGTGAGTTACCGTAGATGTTGTCTAGTAATAGGAATTGAGCAAGGCCTGAGGGAGGCACCACAGAAACCTGGAAAGTTATGTCCCCCCCACGGCGCCCGCTGCGCCCCAGTAGTTACCTAGGAGCATGCTTAGCTCTGTGCTGAGTGACGAAGCAGTGTCTGTGTAGAAGTAGTTAGTAACCTTACAGGAGTGTTGATGGATTTGGATTTTTTTGTTGTTTTTTTGCCCTCTTTGCCGCTATAAGTTAGGCAAAGACAGCAGTAATCCTGGGAATGTTTCACAGGTCTGCAGAAACTCTGGTACTTAGCAAGCACTGGCTGCCAAGTACTGCCCTCTCCTCACCCAGCCGAACCTCAGCAGACCTGTGTAAGGCAGTGCAGCTCCTCAGGGCCTGCCTCTCCTTTCACTCACCTGGTGACCACGAGAGGAACCCACAGTTCCATGCACTGCCTGCAAGTCAGGGCAGGATTAGGTCTGGCACCTTGGGAATCTGCTGGAGTGGAGAGGTGCTGGTGACTCTGTGCTGGATTGTGTCTAGGCAAAGCCCTTCCCTCTCCCAGGGGTGATGAGGAAACATCGAGATTTCCAGACCTACATAGCCAGGGAAGGGCTTTTCTGTTTTGGAGTTGGGTTTTTTTGTTGTTGTTGGTTTTTACTTTTTTTTTTGTTTTTTTTTTTTTTTTTTTTTTTTTTTTTGCATGAAGTTCTCACAACTGTATGGGGCTGGAGCTACTGTAGTAATATTTGTTTCAGGGTATTTAAGAAGGGAAGGAAGTAAGTGGGTGGCAAAAATTTCTAGGGACTTGTTTACCACCCCATGCCAGTGTTCATATTTTATTCCTACAGGAGCAGCCTTCTTTTGAAATAGAGATCAGCTCCAAGAAAGGTGTGTTTGGTTTGCGTCTCCGTCACTGCAATGTGGAGGGAGGAGGGTGGGATTTGAGAGTATGGGAGAAAGTAAGTTGAGCAAAAGTTTCTTATGTTCTGTACTACTACTCTCTCACACTTCTCTTCTGTGGCTGCACCCACAAGGTGGAGCTGGGTATGGATCCTTAAATTCTGGCAGTGACCATCTTGCAGCCCTGCGTCTTGGCCAGTGCCTGTGTTGTATTGCTCATTGAGGGGGCTGACCAGACCCGTGTGTGCCACGCCTGGGTGAGTCATCTCTCCTGAGGGAGGCCACGCTCAGACCGTTCCCAAGAAGTGAGAGGGAGGACCTGAGTCAGGCTGCTGCACATCCCAGCAGGACTCCCTCTGAGTGGGTGAGAGGCAGACGCAAGCTGCAGCGTGGTGCTCAGCTGAGACAGCAGCTCCGACAGCTTCATGGAGCGCTGTGCTGCCTGCCACTCTCCCCAGGACCTGCTCTGACCTGGGTCAGGCAACAGTATAGCATGAGACCCAGCTCTTATGCTATTTAAGGCTCTTCTCGTCCCTTATGCATTTTATATCCTCGAAGTACAACTTAGCATCACTGGAGAACTGCACCAGACCCACAGCAAAGACAATTGACCCATTGACAGTCTAGGTTGAGTGCAAGAAAGTCTACAAGTCATGCAACAAGTCACAAATATAAGGAATCTGCAGTTAATCTTCCACTTCCATCCTGCAGGAAGCTCTCCTTGTTTCACACAGTGTTCAACCTCTTCATGTCAGGCTAAGAGTCAGCCAGGGCTAGACTCGGTTTAAAAAAATGTCATGAAAAAACCACAATGCTATGAAAAGCACAAGTTCTAGGCTGCTGCTTATCCTCATATCCTATATGAAGCCAAAGCACACAAGGTGCAGTCCTAGCCCCCCAGGTCTCTCATCTTTATGGTGTATAGAATTAGCATTGAGAGTGCTGCTGAGCTCAAACTGTGGATAGGGTATCTGGGTACCAACAAGAAGGGTGTGCTATGCACTGATCATGCAGGGATCCTGAAATAGTGCCTCCTCTCAAGACTCGGCAGCCCAATATATGATATCCTGAGGAGCTGCAACCCCCTGGAAGTATTGTTTCTGTCTCGTGGAGGAAGTATTACACCCAGTCATACTGTTAAGTGCAGATTTCTCCACTCGGCTCTTGTGAAATCAGTACTTCTGCAGTAGGAAGAAATGGAGCCCATTCACTAAACTTTCTGAACAGCCTGTTAGTTGCAAACAAACGGTGCTGCCCACCTCTGGAAACTTTGCTATTGGAGCTGCCCTGTCCCTGGCAGGATGCTGGACGCTGTTTCCCTGCACTCGGCGTACCTTGAGGCCAGTGGTACTTGTCATGCGTTTGCTGTGTATCGCTCTGTCAGCTAGTCACAGCCCTGGCTGTGCTCCTTTGCTCTTCCATTGTCAGGAACCAGGAACAGAGGCCATTTTCCTCTACACTCTTCCCTACGGGTGCTAGTTGCAATTCTTCTCCTTGCCAGAATAATCTGAATAGTGGCTTTTTGATGAGATCTGTCCTGTGCTCAGCATTTGTTAAAAGTCTTTCATTGAGGCATTGCAGGGCAGTGTGATGGATGGTTCTGGGAGGCACTTTCCGTTGCAGTCTTCCCCTCTTCTAAACTAATGAAAACCCATTCATCACCAGCTATTTCCACAAATGCCCTAAATCTCTGGTTAGCAATGAGACAACCCTACTGTAGACGGCATAGCAGCAAAGCACTAATTCCATCTGCCCCGCTCTAGTGAGCATTTAAAAAGGACTTCAGTTGTGTTTCAGAACAGCAACACTCTAACACATCCCCGCCATGCGCTTTCCAACCCTCACCCCTTCCCTATTTATGCTTCTCTTGCTTCAAAAGGAGAAAAACTTGTGTTAACAAAAGACAGCAATGAATGGCAAGGCTGCAGTTTTATGTTTGCTTCTGTCTCACAATAATAATTACTGTCAGCAACTAAGTAACAGTGGCTTCCTTGCTGGAGGAGAAATGCTACTGATTGCAGGTACCTTAAGAGATCTAATTCTTTTGGCAAATGAGGATCTTAATTATTCATAGAAAACCTAGACAGAACATTAATAAAGGGAACGTGGGGAAAATGGTTCACGTATGAGATCAGGATGAACAAATAAAAAATCTTGCAACCTTCCCCTCCTTGCACGACGTTCTGATGAACAGCAGCAAGGTGTGATTCTCTGCTCTGAACCCAGACCCATGACAAGGTCCTTCTGACCAGCTCAGCAAGAGGAAATGAAGCTTTGCTATTACAGGACATGCCAATAACAGAGCCTCAGAAAAAGGACGTGTCTAATGCAAACTCCATCTGACAGATGCCAATACAGGCCTTCCAGGCTGAAAAGGAATGCAAAGCCAGTCCAGACCTAGAGCTGACCTGGCAGTCAGACTGGCAGACCACCACCAGCTCTGCCACTGGCTCGCTCTGCGGACTCCCTTCGCCTCTCCGGGCTTTGATTTCTCCTCCTCCACAAAGTAGATAATTGCCCTCCCTGAAGGACTGTTGGACTTAAATTACTAGCATCTACAAGGTGCCTGGAGAGCCAAGAGGAGAAGAGGTTAGCACAGGGCAGACTGGTTAATAGCCTAAGTCAGTTGAGTGATTTTGAACAAGAGGTAAAAATCTTTCTCTTCCCAAAAAGCCGCTGCAGAGTCCCCTGCTAATGCATGTTGTGGTGTTAGGCAGCATCACATCAAAGTTACTTAACAGATTGTCTTTGATATCTGCATTTTTGTGAGAACACACTGAAGCAAGTTCATGATGGAGGGGAAGCAACTAGGCACTTTGTTTTAAATCTCCAAAGGATCAAACTTGGGGGAATTTGTAATTAAATAGCACCATTAATGAAAAATAGGTGACCTAATCCTTTTGAGCTCCTGCATCTGGGCTGCAGAGATCAGCTGCTCTGTTACTCAGAGGATAGGTTATTTTTAGTTCAGAAATGGTATGTTTACACTTGAGAGCACAGGCAAGCATACTCTGTGAGTGTAAAACGCCCCACACACATGCGCACGCTGGAAGAAAATTTCCGTGTGCACCAGAGAAGGCAATTAAATGTGTGTTTTGGAAAATGTCCACAAACACATAATAAAGCCCCAAAAATCCAGTGAGGTTCACAGTCCCCTTTCCCAGAGTAATTTATAATTATTATCGTTATTAGATTGTGGTGTGTAAAGGCAGTTTCTGCTCTGAGGGAAAAGAACATGAGCTACAGCACTAATCATCTCTGCGCAAGGTCCTACCTCCTCCGTCAGCCTCCCTCCACCCCACCAAAAAAGCAGCAGGTGGAATAACGCTGGAAATGAGACACTTGTGGTAAGAGCAAGCAACACTCCAGACACAAGAGATGTGGCAGCTCCAGCAACAGGTAATCTAAAGGAGCAGCACTTGCACGCTCCAGTCAGCTCACAGCTGAAACAACGCTTGCATCCACTCAGCTCCCCAGGCTCTGCTGAGCGCAAGCCTGCGAAGTGAGAATCAAAGGTACCAAACTCCTTTCCCTTGGATGCCGCTGTCGATGGCAGCTGTAGGAAGTTGCCAGGTGGAAAGGGAGGGGAGGCTGGTATCACCTCTCTCCCCGTGGCGTGCAGGGAAGGGCTCTGCGGTCTGCAGCACCAGCTATTCCAGGGCATTTGGCCCCTTTGCAGTTCACTGGGACTCGCATAGGCTGCCACAAATGTGAATTGTCACCCCTTTGTCATGTACCCCATCCTGCAGTCTGCACGTATGCGACACTGTGAGAACAGGGCAGCCTCTCTGCCTCAGCACTAGCTCCTCACCCTGTTGCTAGCTTATTTTTCCCAAGGGCTGATAGAACAGCAAGTGAGAGAGAATGCTGTATATAGTCTCTGCCTTCTGTTTCCACCAATGCTGGGCTAACAGGGTTTCAAATCCCAGCAGGCAACAGACAGAAAACATTTCACTCTAGCCTTACTGGCTGGAGATATTAATGTCCAGACCTTGTTAGGGGTAGATGAAAACAGTGTCTGAGCCTAGAGATTGGTGGTATGAGTGCCACCTCTCCTGTGATCTCAACCTGGGAGCAGCACAGGTTGTGATGATTTGGCTTGGGAATTCAAGAATGATGCTGGGAAATACTGAACAGAGATGAAGGGACGGGGATGAGGCACTGCAACAGGCTAGTGCTGTGCTCACAGCTTCTACTTGCAAGGCCAGAGCAGAATCTTCTGCTCCTTGACAACTGCTCTCCCTCCCAGAGGTGACAGGAATCCAAAGCAAGTCATGCAGGGATGCGTTCCCAGGAGACAGAGCTGCTGCAGGGAGTAAGAGATGGGTATGAATTAAACAGAGCCAGCAGGGAGGTTTTCTTAGCACAAAAGAAAAAAAAAGATCCAGGTATTCCTTCCCTTTGTCCCATTTTTGGAGTCCTGATGCTGGCAGGGAGGAACTAGGGGAGTTACAGTGTCAAGCATGTCATACCCAGAGTGAAGACACATGTCTTCACATGAAGCTGCAGTCAAGCCCTGAATGAGGGTGTGCCGCAGACAAGGAGTTTAATCAGCAAAAACGGGCAGGGAGGAGCTTTAAGGTGCAGCAGGGAAGGTGAAGGTTCAACAAAGAAACTGCAAGGAGTTGGGAGAGGAGCCCTGGAATGGAGAAGCAGCCATAACTATGATGGAGCATTGCAGGGTTGAGGATCAGTCCTGCCCTGCAAGTAAAGGGAAAATCCTGAGGTTGAAGCACTGACCCGGGAGGATCCTGCCAGGAGCAGCACCCAGTTGGAGCCTGACTGCTGCATGGGCAAGGCTTGGGGACAGGCAGCCCCGTCCCCCCGCTGTCTCCCTGCTTTCTCAAACTGAATCTTTAATATCCAGCTGCCCAGCCAAGAAGCCCTGTGCTGTATTTTCCTCTGAACAAGGACTAGAGCCAGCAGCGAGGGCGTCCAGAGCACACCAACTGCCATCTACTGGCTAACGTGGCAGCGGGGCCCCCCGCAAGCTGCCCCCGGAGAAGGGCTTGGAGGGAAAAAGGCCATTCCTGGTAGAAAAGCTTGTTAAGCAGCTTTTTAAGGCTTTCAAAACAGCTGAATTTGTGTTTGCAAAGAGCATCCAAAGGTAAAGCAGCAGCTGACACAGTGCAGGCTGGACCAGTGGGATTTCAGACAGCCTGAAGAACCCACATGGAGGTACAGCCATGTTAAATGCATGCAGAGAGGGGGTGTGTGCGCCAAGTGCAGCCCCTGCAAGGGGAGAGCTGAACATGGCTGCACCTGCAGCCAGCAGCAGCAAAGCGGGAACATGAGCTCCAATGCAGCACTGCTGTCTCAGCAGAGAGAAATCAAAAGCCCAGCCCAAAGATTAGCCCAGACTATTTCATTGCAGCTGCCTTTTCTTCACTGTAGAGATCCAGAGCTTTCCTGCCTGATACAGCATCCATATATGAAGGAGGTGCCAGCCCCTAAAGGAGACTGCTGTGTTACCAAACCTGTCCCCACTGCCACATTTCCTTGTTTAGCAGATGTGCTAGTGTGGAGGATTTATCAAATACTGTGTATCTCACCTAGGAGGATCCCAGCCTCTCCCTTCTCCCTGCAAAACTTCTGGGAAGCACTCCTCAGAGATGTTTGTTCCTCTGTAAGAGGGGCAGAGATGGGGGGAAATGCTCCGGGAAGAGAAACATTTCCTTAAACACACACAAAGCAGCCAGTTTTGGCACATGCCTACAGACCCATCAGCGTAAAAGCCAGACAGAAGTGCCCCACAAGGTGGGAGGCAGAGGAGCACGCGCTTGCCAAGCCCTCAGAGCAGCAGGGCCGGACGATGGTTTCACACCCAGGGGAGACAGGAGGATGAGGAGGGCTGGCACGGGTGCAGGACTGTCCCCTCGTGCACACCCCGGCACAGCCCCCATGCCAGCGTGGTGTTCAACAGCCGCACACGGTCTGGGTAAGAGAAGAGGCAGCAATCCGAGATGCTGAATTGAGAAGAGTTTCCATGGCAACCCAGGCAGGGAAACCCCCCAGAGCTGGGGAGCTTGGGATGAAGGAGGGGAGAGAGCAGAGCGTGTGGAAGGCACACAGCAAGAGGCGATGGGTGTGCTCAGGCCAATTCTTGCACAGCACAGACAGGGAAGCGTGCGAGCGCCTGCTTGGGGGACTGGCAGGCAGAGCTACACATGGAGGAGGGTGGTTTTACAGTCAAGACGCAATCTAGGCTGTGATGAGAAGGAAGTCCTTATACTCCTAGGGCATCCCAAAGGTTTATGACAATGCTTAGAAACCCCAGAATGGAATATCCTACTTGGGGGGCAGTACTGACAGCATGTACAGAAACGTCACCCGATGTCCTTTGGCCCTGGGCAAAATGTAAATTCCTAATCTGGGAATTTAAGGCATCTTTCTACATCCCAACTAGCAGAGCAACCTCTTTTTCTACTTGGCCACTCCCAAAACTGATTATCTGAAGCAAGAACATCTAGTCAGCACTACAGTGAGCTCTTATTTCCAGCACGTGTCCTACCCTCACAGAGAAGGCTGCTCAAGAAAGACAGGGGATGTATTAAAAGGAATTTTGAATAAATTCCTTTTATTCAGAGACAAGAGCCTTGATCAAACCCCACGTGTCACATTGTGCTGGAAGAAGACGAACTGAGAAACCCCCACCAGGGTGAAGCAAAGAGACTTCAGACAGCAGGTTAAGAAGTGTCTGCGAGAGGGAGGGGATCAACTGATACTCAAAGGCAGTATCAGCACCCCAGGAAGGCAGGAGCAGCCTGTCCCAGAGAGGGTATCTTTTTAATCTACAGCTAACAGGCTTGCTCCTCAAATTAGCATGCACGAGGCTGTAGAAGCATTTAGTATTCAGAAAGCATCAGTCTGATACAAACCTATTTGCTGCTGCTGCAGCAGCTGCCACCGGTAACAGCAAGCTGTGCTACAAGGCAGGCTGTTGAGTGCTTTTTCCTTCCCGGAGGGCACCCAAGAGGACAAAGCAAGGAGGAATGCGTTCAGGCATCTCCGAAACCCCAGATGGTACCACACCCATCTCGCTTGCCACCAGGCAGCAGGTGGACCCGCACCTCCCAAGCCCATGTCAGCGCCTGGCCTGAAGGCACCAGGAGGCCCTGCGGTGCATGGCTGAAGGAGTTCCCCCGAGGGAAACACCAGCTTTCCTCTGCAAGACCTCACTGTGCACAGACCACGCTTGAGTCAGGCAAAGGCACCACAGAGATCGCATATTCCCAGGAAAGGAGATGGGCTGAGGTTGCATGAAGGGACTGAGGGATGTAATACCCACAAGAAGCTCAATCCTTATCCAACTCATCTCTTGAAATAAAACTGATTTTATCTCCAAGCTGTTTGCCCGCACAAGTACTGCTCCGTGCCCCTAAGATCCCACAACTTCCGCATGTGTTGGAGAAGGTCACTTGTTGCAATAAATACTTATTTGGGCACTGACCACAGAAACTATTTTTGTAAGCCGGAGGACAGAAATAACAGATCTTCAGTCTCAAGTCATAGAAAGCTCTGAACATTAAAGAAGGCACTGAGGATCAAACCTGACATCAGAACAGAGCTGGCCAAACTCTGGCCTGAGATACTCCGGGATTTTAAGTTGTCTCCATAGGGAAACACAACTGTTTCTTAGGAGAGCTCAGCCCCCTCCAGCCTAACCACCCTCCTGTTCCAAACATACGTGGTGCAAATCTACACAGGGAGGCCCAGAAACCTACAGAGCAGACCCAAATATAAACCACTCTGGTTAGTCTTGAAGGGTACAAGAAACAAGGCAATCCTACTCCTGGGGTTCTTCTGTGCCAGAAACGGTCTTTGAACTGACTGATCATCTGGGAAAACAGAGACCCCCCAGCAGCCCCAGTCTCCAAACCATGACTCTGCTATCCCTATGGATAGCAGCCCAGGGCTGGAGTCTGAGCCAAGGCAGGCGATCGCAGGCAAGAGTATCACTTAAATGTATAAAGCAGAATTATCCCAAGGCGACCCCAGGACCAGCCACACAATACAACCTCCCCACGTGTTCCAGGAATTTTCCTCTCAGAAAACTCTGGGCTATGGCACAGATAGGGGCTGAGCTCATTTTGTCACAGTATTTTTAGACTCTGGCTCAGGGGAGAATCTGTTGATATAAACAAGTGTGAGTGGCAAGCACCAGCCCTTGAAATGGAAAGAGCAATGACTGAATGAAGGGGGAAGAGAGAGAGGATCTTTATTTCCCTTCACGTCACCAAGAATTCAGGTCTGGCCTCTCCCTTCGCTGGAGGAAGGAAACATGCTCTTGAAAGACATTATTCCAGGAGACTGATCCAGCCTGCCAGGAATGGCCCAAGCCCGTAGCACTGTGCAAGAAGGAAAAATAACAGAGACTGTTTATCAAAGTGTCCCTTCTCCCCTCACCCACCTTCCCCATACTCTCCAACACTGATTTCAGGTCAGAAGTGTCCACATTAAAACGCGTTAGATCCCAGTATTCCCAAAGCAGCAGCAACGTCAGGGCAGTCTCAGCCAAGCAAGTCAGGCCAAAGGATGTTACTTCTCTTCCGTAGCATGCAGTTTGTTCCGCCGCTCCATCTTCTTCTGCAGTTTCCTCTTCAGCTGCAGTTGCTTTTTCTTCTGCAGTGTCTGCTGGATCTTCTCACGGCATTGCTTGTTTTTCTTCTTGATCTTGGCTAGCTCTGCCTTCCTTTTTGCCTCCAGATCTGGATCCTGCAAGGGCAAATGTCAGGACACTAGTGACATGCCTAGGGACAGTGCCAGCCCCTTTGCCCTTCCTAGATGCCCACGCTGCTTTCTAGCCCGTGACTGAGTAGGCTGCAAAAGTCAGACACTACTCCAATGCACTTTTTAATATCAGTCACCCTTTAAGATAAAACTTCACCACCCTGAAGCAGTGAGGGAGGAACTGTCATTCCTTTTCCACACCGATGGCATTGTACCAGCTACTGATCAAAGTAGTTTATATAGCAGCAGCTCTCACCTTCCCTTCAAGGATCATTTGTTTCCGCTTATTTATTTCTTTCTTCTCATCTAAATCCATTCCCTCCAGTTCCTGTCAAAGCAAAAATACAGCAGGGCAATCAGTAACCAAGCACCGAGTCTGACACAGAGAAAAGCAGTGCAGCTCTAAAGGGTCAGCAGAACCTCACCCGCGTTCACGTTTGGTAGCCTGCAGACCTTCCCCCCAAAGTACCAGCCTCAACACTCAGGAGCACAAAAATGCTGCAAAAATGTGCAATAATAGAGCAAACCTAGGGAAGACAACTAAAACGACCCTCCCCACACTCAGGTCTATGTGCTTCCACTAGAAAAAGGAACAAAAATTCTTATTTATGTGCTCAAGAGCAAAGCTGTGTATCCAGAGCCACACGTTAGACTGCAACGAATCTCCTGGTTACACCCAGCTGCCCAAGATCTCCAGTCCTCTGAACAAAGGGGCTTCATGTTTGCACACTTACTATTTCACATTCCCTCCTGGTGACATTCACTTGGGTGAGGATGTCAAGCACAAACCGCTCCTCCACAGAGAACTCCTGCAGCTTCAGTTCTAAATCAGGGCGAGACATTTACAGACCATGGTTGGTTAAAAAATCCAGGGGCAGATTCTCAACTAGTAAAAAACCCAATATAGTTCCACTGATTATCAGTGGAATTGTTGTCACTATGATCACTCTGACTTGTCCAGGCCTACAACAAAGGATTAAATCCTCCCCTCTACCTACAATTCCCCATAGCACAAGATGTTGCATTTATTAGGTCTACTTCCTAAAAAAAAAGATGAAGTCTGAATCTATGCAAAGCAACCTGTTCTTGTTGTCCACCTCAGCATACACAGTAGCAAGGAAGTAAGGAAGAAGCTGGCTGCTTTAATAAAAAGCTAACAGAGAGAGTTCAACACACACTGGTTCTCCTCCACTAGAAATAGCAGGAAGACAAACGTGTTCATGCCTGGCCCACCCCAGAGCAGAATCAAAGCTGATGGAGATTCAAGGGCTCCTGCTCTTTTCCGAGCCTTAGCCACACAGGGAAGAGAAACCATTTTATGCTGATGTTCTGGATCGTACATTCTGCACCAATGAAATCAGGGCTACAAGTACCACAAGCACAAAGGAACATACATAGTCCCACATTTTAGTAGCATTACTGGTGCTCTACTTACTGATTTCCTCCTCAATAGCATGTACGAGATGGATGTCATACTGCGTCACCAGTGTAATAGCTATTCCTTTCCGACCTGGATGATGAAAACACAGTGATATATGAATCCTGACAAGCAGAGGGAGATGAAGCCTAACCCATGCCAAATTCTATCCATCCCCATGAGTCAGCCTAGCACACTGTGGTGACAGGGTGCTCAGAGGGGTCTTTATTTGCTCTGAAAATTCAGCTAACTATTGGTGCAGATCAGACACAAGTCAGGGTGAGCCATCATTGCAATCTTAAGGCAGGATGCTGAGCCAGTGATCCAAGTAGATCCGGTGCTGACTGAAAAGACTGCACCGCAACTGCTGCGAAGCCTCCTCACACCCGTTCAGGGCTCAGCCCCAGGATCCTGGTTTTAGCCAGCAAACGGCACACGGTTTTCCCTGCTCACCCGCACGGGCTGTCCGGCCAACCCGGTGAATGTAGATTTTCGGCAGGCCGGGAGTGTTGTGATTGATGACAACTTGTACTGTAGGAATGTCCAAACTAGAACAGAAGTTGAGAAACACTGTTTTAATATATGCAGTTTAAGTTCCTGTCCTCTGCCTTCTCCAAGAGCCCTGTATTCTCATGAATATAGTCTTTATTGGCTCGGGTGGATTCTAGGACAAACTCTCTCCTCATGCAACTCTCCTATAGTCACAAAATGCAACGCCGCCCTGTAGCCTGCCGTTCCCTCCTAGACCCAGAGAACACACTAAGCCTCATCGAAATCATTCTCCTGCTAGAACACACACACACCTGCTGCAGCAAAACAAACCAGGATCAGAGCTACATTGCATACAAGTGGGCTCCAAAACACAGCTCAGAGATGTTCTACAACGGAAGTGAACAACCCTGTCCTACCCAAGTGGGGGAATTTAAAGCTCTCCTCTTGCTAAACCCACCCTAATCTCTACAGTGGTTCTGGTGCTTAAAAAGCAGGCTTAAGACCTTTGGCAACAGAGACCGCATTTTTCCCTTACCTGGCAGCAACATCAGTGGCAATAAGAATCTTAAAGATGCTGGACTTGAACTTTGCTAAAGCTGCAAATCGTTGCCGCTGTAGAGAGGAAAGTCTGTATGAGGAATGTTGTGATCCACAGGAGCTGTAGGACTTGGACAGACATCTGGCTCAGGGATGCAGCTGGAAGCATCCATCTTCTGGATCTGTCCATCACTCACCTGTTTCATCATGGAATGCAGAGCTACAGAAGGAAAGTTGAATTTCCTAAGCATCATGTTCAAGACCTGGCAGTCCCTTGAAGGAAAAAAAAATAATCAGAATGTAACAGGGAAACTGATGGATCAGGACAGAGCCGGGGTCCCTCGAGAAGCCCTTGCACTACAGTTACCACAACGCAGTTAGTTACTGAAGCACTCTGACAGAAGTAGGGAACAGGACACCCAATCCACACCCGCTCACCCAGAGAGAGTGACTGGATTCCCACCTGCATTCAGGGGAATGTCACCAGCTCCAGGGCTCAATCCCAGTCACCTGAACCACCGGAAGGACAGGAACAGCCCAGAGGAGCAGACAGTGCTATTTTCCCCATCCCTTTTCCAGTATCTATCAGCAGGAGGAACGGAAGATGCAGGGAGGTAAAGCAGCTTGACCTTCTGGTGTGCTACATTTCTGGGTGGCCCTTCAGCCCCAGATTGCTCAAGGGAAAAGGTGTTTCTCTACCAAATTTCAGAGTAGACTTAAGGAAGCAAATACCATCCCAGCCTAACACCCAATAGAGTGCGAATTTGGAATATGAACTAGAAATGTAAAGGCACGTCTACATTAAGAGCAATCACGAGGAACAATGCCACTCACTTGCAGGTTTTAGTAAAGATTATAATAGACCAGTCTTCATGCTCGTCCTGGAAGGTCTGGATTAAATGGACAAGGTACGCGTCCTTGACTGCTTCGGGTACAAGCAAGTAGCGCTGGTCCAATTCATCCACTGTCCGCACCCTGTTGGGAGGGGAAGGCAAAGCACCAAGAAACACTGGTTTGGCAAGGGAAGACAGAACAGGAGGGAGATGAAAGACAGTAAGGAGACAAGATAACGGAGAGGAAACAGGATTCTTCATCCACTCAGTAGAGTGGATGAAGACTTACTCGGACACAGCCTCCCAGAAGAACGGTCTGTTCGCGGCCAGGCTCTTCAGCTCCTTCAGCGTATCGGTTAGCGTGGCGCTGAACAGCAACGTTTGTCTGCGTGCTGGAACAGCATCCAGAATCACCTCCAGGTCCGCGGTGAAGTCAGCACAGCCCTGCTCCAACAACCGGTCAGCTTCATCCAAAATCTAGGCACAGCCGAAAAGAAACGAGATCATCTGCATGCATACCTACACAGCTAAAAATCTTAAAAGCATAAAAAAAACCCTGGAAAACTGCCTTACCAAGAACTTTAGCTTTTTAAGGCTGAAAGTGTTGGAACTGCGGAGGTGATCTGCCAGCCTGCCAGGCGTAGCGATGACAACGTGGGGTTTACGGGAGAGCTCCAGCGCCTGCGCCACCATATCTGCGACAAGAACCACAGAGCCGAGTTACGGGCAACTGAATGTGGACCCTACAATCGTTTGGTCTGTAAGGCTAGAAAATGTCACTCTCCTCATTTCCACCAGCCTCCACTGCCTTGGGCGCTGGATGACAGCTCCTCAGCACAAAGAAAACACACCGTGTGGGAAGAGAGCCTCGCCGGGCGCTCTGCTCCGTCCCAACCCAACCGTACCGGGGCCGGAGGGGAAGGGCAGGGGCTCCGACCCCCGCGCAGCAGCACTCACCCAGGCCGCCCACCACCACGCAGTCCTTCAGGCCG